AACGAAATAAGGTCGATTTACAACGATAAATATTTCGAAATATGACCATTCCACACGTAAAATCAATAGAACTTACCAACATCTTGTGTGTCCGTTGTAGTTTCTGGCGATCTCTGCCGTTTCAAGCTTGTTTTGCCATCACTGTTATTGATATTCTTGTTATAAGACGAAGACAAGGCTGGACACTCCAATTTCCACCATTGTCCACGCGGAGTTGGTTTGCGCCCCTAAAATCCTCCCCATCGGTATTTTTCTCAGCCATAGTTTACGATCTAAGGTCATTGGACCCTGGGACATGCCTCAATACCAAACTACACGCGCATTTCGCTGAAAACGAGCGTTTTCTACCTGCAATTCTAAGTTCGCTAATCTCTGGCCATGATCTTGATGACCAAACTGGACAAGGACGCCGAAGACTTGGGTACGAGGTCAATTTTCTCTCTACCACGAGTGGTACGGTAGATTAAAGAAAACGGTTGAAAGAAAATTGAAATACTTACCCCATCCCCACAGCGGTACCTCGCCTTAATCTATTGTCCCGATCAACCAACCAGACAGCGAGGTGAAAAATAAAACAGATAAACAACAGACTAACCTAAATTATTTTGCGGGGTTTGCTGTGAGCACACCAGCTTGGAGGCCAGAGGCAAAGGTTCAAGACATTCCTTCGAAGAAACTTATGTGAGATTAGAAATGGCATCGAATAACCCAGGTTTCTTTGGTTTTATTTTGTGAAATCGGCAGCAATATTTTGTATGTATTTTTGGATTTTTTTTCTCGTTGTAACTTACATTTACGTTAACGTTTACAGCCAATCTTAACGGTGGATCTTGATCTTCTCAAGTCGTCTACGGCGGCTCCCACAAATACATACAGTACATGTTTGATGGAGATACTTTGGAGTATTAGTGAGAGTGGAAAAGCTTTAATTCTTGAAATATGAAAACTCTAAGGAAAATAAACTAAGGCCCCGTCTCCATCTCTGTCTCTGCCAGCTGTAACTTATTTACGCTGGTTAGCATGGAATATTATAATAATTGCATTAAGTGAAGTGGTTCTTTTAAGAGAGCCCCCGCACTTAATGGAAGTTAAGGAAACCTAACCCGTGTTGTAGCGGTCTGGCCTTTGTTTGGAAATTAGGGGCATCTGCAA